GGGTGGACCTTCCTGCCGGACCCGGCGGGAGGCGGAGCCAGCACCCCGCGGGAGTCCCAGAGTCGCGGCCAAACGCGGGGGACCGTCCTCCGGGCCTGACATGCCCTCGGAGTGAAGGCTGCGGAGCTGACTTGACGTCCCATGGCCTTTCTGGCTATGACCCTAGGCAGCCTCCGCTTCCTCGGCTGCCAAACAGATAATGGCCCTCACGGAGTCGGAGGAAAATGATGAAAGGAGAAAATGGAAGCAGGTTTAAGATAGTTACCATGGACAGCGCTGTCCTCAGGTCCATGTGCCTGGCTATGGAAAAACTACTGGGTGGGTGGGGGGACAGTCTGATTTCGGGAGAGTGAGGACTAATAGTTATTAGTTTTGGTACCTCTTGGCAAGATTAGTTTCTGAAGTCAAGATTACTCCCTCTTTTGCTAACCTTCAGTTCTGAATTAAATGTAGACACCTTACCCGCTGTCCAGGGCTCCCGTCCCCAACGTCCCCAACGGCCACCTGCTGCCTGGCCTCACATTCCTTCCCTTCACACAGCTCCCTACTCGTAGCCCTCTGCCTCTCCTAGCTTCCATCCCTGCCCCTTCTCTACTGACTGATACTGTCCTTCAAGTCCCATCTCGTTCTACTTCCTCCTACTGCTAATAAAATACCCACTTCTGGGTAATTTAAGAGAATAGAGGTTGGGCCAGCAGTTAGCATAATGGTTATGTCGCTGGGCTCCCATGTAGTCGACCGAGATTCGAGTCCCAGACCCGGTGGCTTAAACTCACGCCAGGCGTGCATGCCCAAGATCCTGAGAGAATGGAGAAGGGATTGCAGCCTGGCCATCCCCCCTCGGGTGATTTCTCGCTTTCTCTCTCTTTTTGGCGAGCGCCCCAAGAAAAAAAAAAAAAAAAAAAAAAAAAAGAGAGAATAGAGGTTTATTCACCACACTGGTTGGAGGTCGAAGGTCCAGAGGCAGCATCTGGCGAGGGCCTTCTGAGGCCATCACAGCACTCTCCCTCCTATAAACCCACAAAGATTCAGTCATCATGGTGATTTTGTTATTAGTTTTGAGTTGCAATGTAAATTCAGGTTTACTCTCTTCCCAGAGGCTTCATCTTTCAACACTAGAGTAACATAACTAGTTTTCATCCTCTTAATGCCATCACTTTTTAAGTTTCACTATAGAGCACATGTACTCCCTGAAGGGAGGTGGGAAATCACCCCTGAAGGTATGGCCACGCCCTGCAATCTCTTCTCCATTCTCAACATTTCGGGCACGCATGCACACGCACACATGTATCTGGCGTGTTTCCCAAGCCACCAGATCCAGGACTCAAACTAGGCAGTTGGCCATGTGGGGTTCAGCCACCTTAACATCCAGCACCTGTTGACCCCATCACAATAAAATTTCAACACATGAAATTAGGGTACATTCAGAACACAACGCATCCTAGATCTTACCTTACATAAGCCCTTCTCAAATTTCCTTACACAAATGTTCGCTAGTGTTCTCATTTTGTCTATTCCTCTTCCAGCCCTTACTGAGCCATAAAGATCACTGCTTTACTCCCTCTACTCCTGGCCTACTTCAGTGTAAATGCAAGATAGGCTGTGCTCTGTTCTTCACACAATTCCCTGTACGGAGAACCCTGCTTATTTACTGAACACAGACCAGTCTTCAGCTTTCCAATAGGCAAGTTTTCAGAATATTCCAGAAAAACGCACTTTGAGAGGCCTGTGGCTTTTTTTAAAAGAGATTTTTGATATAGGACACATGTGCTCACCAGAAACACAAAGAGACAGACAGAAAGCAAGAAATCCCCCATGGGGGGGGGGAATGGCCATGCAGCAATCCCTTCTCCTCTCAGGATCATAAGCACAGCCGTACATGAGCCCAGCGTGAGTTTTAAGCCACCAGGTCCAGGATTTGAACCACAGTTGACTACACGGGAGTTCAGCCACACCATTACAGCATCTGCTGGTCCCTCAAATCCTCTTAAAAAATTTTTTGGCGGGGGTGGGGTGGTGGACTCTCACAAGTCCGACTGGTTGGAGTCCTGGACCAGGCAGCTTGCTTTCTCACTTTCCTTTTCTTTCTCACACTCTCTCCCTTTCTGGTCAAATTAAAATAAATGAAAGAATAAATAAAATTAAATAATTCGGGACCAGCAGTTGGCGTAATGGCTATATCACTGGACTTCCATGTAACCGACCACAGTTCGAGTCCTGGACCTGGTGGCTTAAACTCATGCCAGGTGCATGTGGGTGTGTGCCCAAGATCCTGAGAGGAGAATGGAAAAGGGATTGTGGTGTGGCCATTGCCCCTGGGGGATGATTTCTCGCTTTCTGTCTCTCTGTCTCTCTCTGACTTTCTGGTGAGCGCATGTGCCCTATAGCAAAAACCTCTCAAAAAAAAAAAAAAAATTAAGAAAAAAATTTTTTTCCAGTTTGCTGTAAGGCACACATGCTTACCAGAAAAAAAGAGAGAACGTGAGAAATCACCACCCCCCCACCCTTAAGGGAGAATGTCCATTCTGCAATCCCTTCGCCATTACCTTCTTAGAATTTTGGGCATACACACACACACACACCTGGCGTTTTTCAAGCCACTGGGTCTGGGACTTGAATTATAGTCAGCCATGTGGAATCCAGCCACCTTAACCATCTGGCTTGCCCCACTGTTCTTTATAACAAGGAATTGTTATAAACTTGAATTTTATATAACAAATCAAAACAAACAAAATAACCAATTTTATATCTGCTTTACTATTGGAGTTCAACAAAAATCTAATTTGGGGAACCAGCAGGTGGCATGGTGACTGAGATGTTGAACACCCACATAGCCAACCAAGGTTCAGGTCCCAGACCTGGTAGCTTGATTTCTCACTTACCCTGTCTTTCTCTGGTCAAATTAGAAAATGATACAGGCTAGCAGATAATGTAGCAGTTATGTTGATGGCAGTTCAAATCCTGAACCCAGTGGTTTCAAAATCACACTAGCACTTGTGTGTGTGTGCCCAAGATCTTGGGAGAATGGGGAAGGTATATGAGTGTGGCCATCTTTGCTGGGGGAAAGATTTCTCACTTTCCCTTTCACTGTCTCTGACAAGCACACAAGGCCTAAGGCAAAAAAACTCTCAAACAAACAAAAATTTTTTTTGAAAGAGATTTTTCTATAGGGCATGATCTGAGCATGCATGCCCAAGATCATGAGAGAAGAATGGAGAAGGGATTGTGGTCATCCCCCCTGGGGGGTGATTTCTTGCTTGTCTGTCTCTCTGGCCGAGTATACCTACCCTATAGCAAAAATCTCTCTAAAAAAAAAAAAGAAAAAAAGTCTTGAGACCAGCAGATGGTACAGTGGTTGCGTCACAGGACTCTTACATAGCTGACTGAGGTTTGAGTCCTGGACCCAACGGCTTGAAACTCATGCCAGGTACATGTGTCGGCATGTTCACGAGGAGACTAGAGGGAAAGGGATTGCTTACATGGTCATCCCCTGGGGGATGATTTCTCACTTTTGCTGTTTCTCCAGTTAAGTAAAAAATTCTGTCTTAAAAAATAAAAAAAACCCGCCATCATCCTAAGGAAGAGCTGTAGGATAAAATCACTTAACAGGGAAAGTCAGTAGACAAACCATCCAGCAAAAGGCTCCGTGTAAAAACATTTATTTTTACTAATGTTTAGAATACAGTAACTAAAGAAAGGGGGAGAAAAGACACCTAAACTCCAAAGTGACAACAGTGAGTTAGGGCCTGCCCATAGCTGAGGGGAGGACATTCCAAGGTGTCCTGGAATAGATTGTCCCCTGTGCTACTTAATGTCAGTGCCACTATGCAAAAAACTGAGGAAGTCATGGCATGAAGATCTTACCAGCTGCTAGTGAGTGTGCAAGGGTAGAAAGGGATGTCTATGTGGTTTCCTCATGACCCAGGATACACAGGGCAGGAGGCAGAGGCTCCCAATTCAGTGAAGAGCAGGAGGCTGAAGGCCCAGGTCCAGGAAGAACAAAAAAGGGATTTTGGAGGTAGGCTTTTTCATCGAGTTAAAAAACAGGCACATTATCCAACATCTCCCTGTGGCTCCCAAGCTTTTAGCCTGGCCCCCCGGTACTTCCCCTCTCCCCACAAAACCAAAGGGAATAAGGAGGGGAGGCAGAAGATGGGAAGTTCTGAGGGTGGAGAATGCTTCGGTCAGTCACTACAGACAGCCCAAAAACGAGCCAGGGAAGCACAGGGAAGAACAGAGTGAAGTTGCTACTCCCCCAGGGCAGGGTGGAGTGGGTCAGGGTTGAGCCAGGAAGGTGACTGAAAGCATCCTGGCTAGGCAAAGGACCCTGTGTAGCAGGGACAGAGGGCTGCAGAGAGCCACTCCAGAGGAAAGAGGCGAGGCTAAGCAGCACAAAGGGCATGTGAAGCTTCCTCCCGCTCACTCCCAGCTGCTTTCGACAAAGAGGCCCAAGCTTGACTTGCCTCCAGAAGGGAAAACCCCGCAGACCAGAGTGGAGGCAGAGCCGAGAAACAAGTGAGCTGCTCTGCCACTTTCTTGGAGGACGCTGAACCCTGTGGTCACCAGGGCCTGGGCCCAAGGCAAGCAGAGTGAATGCACTTCATGGAGAGCAGAGAGAAGCTGGCCCACAGGTGTGCCTTGGGGCAGTGTGCTGCTCCTTTCTCCCTGAGGGCCTGGGGCCAGAGGCGGCCAGAGCTGCCATCTTAGCTTGCTGATGCCAAAGGCAGGTTGGCATGACCACCCCAAGGTTCTCTGGACTTGTGAAAGAGAGGAGGAGGGTGGGAAAGGTAGATATGAAAAACAAGGTGGAGGAGAGAAATAGCCTTAAATGTATAGGGTTTGGAGGGTGGCCATATCAAGAGGAATTCTGGTTCTGGTAGATGGATGCTTTCTCCTTCAACAGGTCCAGACATAAGTGGCAACTCCAGCTTCCTGCAAAGAAGCACAGTGGGGTCAGAATGGGTCCCACATACTCACAGGACATGTACTGTCCCTCCATTCTCCACATCCCATTTTCAGTAACAGATCAGCTCCAAGGACAGGAGATGTTCTGTAATAGCAAAGTGTCATAATTATCCTGAGCTGGGAGGAGCCTCCAGGTCTTCAACTACCATGGAGTATTGTTGTCAATGAAGGTGAATGAAATTTTGGGTTGCTGGGAAAGTCATGATGCCTTTTTACATAGAGAAGTATGTGGGGGGTTAGCAGATGGCATGATGGTTAAGGCGCTGGATAATCCCATATGGCCAACTACGGTTAAGACCCGGGCCTGGTGGCTTGCTTTCTCACTTTCTCTCTCTGTGTCTGGTTCTGGTCAAATTAAAATAGATGAACGAATGAATAAATAAATAAAATTACTCTTAAAAAAAAAAAGTCATGGGAACCAGCAGTTAGCGTAATGGCTATGTCGCTGGATTCCCACGTAGTCAACCGCGGTTTGCGTCCCGGACCCAGTGGCTGAGAACTCACGCCAGGTGCAGGTGCGTGTGTGCCCAAGATCCCGAGAGGAGAATGGAGGAGAAGGGATTGCAGCGTAACCATCCCCCCTGGGGGGGTGATTTCTCACTTTCTGTCTCTCTCTCTGTTTGTCTGGCGAGTGCACGCACCCTATAGCAAAAAAACTCTCAAAAAAAAAAAAAAAGTCATTAACTTTCCCAACAATCTAATAAATTATCAAATTAATTAATTTGGCCAGAGAGAGACATACAATGACAGAGAGAGAGAGAGAGAGAGAGAGAGAGAAAGCAAACCACCAGGTCCAGGACTCGAACAATGGTCAGCCATGTGGGAGTGTCTAGCACCTTAACCACCACACCACCTTACTGGCCCCCACGTTCTTACACTTTTTATTGTAAGATTTCATATATCTCTGAAGAGCTGATAAAAGTGGTGGTTCCTGGGCCGGCTCCATGGCCTGGTAGATAGGGAGCTGGATCCCACTCTACTGACCATGTGGTTTGAGTCCTGAGAAACACGCTGGGTACATGTGTCCATATGCCCAAAGTCCTAAAAGGAAGGATAGATGGAAGAAAAGGGACTGCGGCATGACCATTTCCCATGGTGCTTTCTCCTCTCCCTCTGTCTCTCTCTGAAGAGTGCATGTACCCTTGGACAAAAAAAAAGTTGAGGATTCTTTCCCCAGAGTATTGTCCTAATACACACATGTATAATTATATACAATTTCAAGATATTAAGGACTAATTTTGTTTCATATGTGTGTATATATGTGCGTGTGTGCATGTGAATTCAACAATAGTAACTGTTAGTAAGGTATGAGCCAGTAATTTTTTGTTTGCTTGTTTGCCTGTTTTTTTTAAAAGAGAGGTTTCTGCTAGAGGACTCATGCGCTCACTGGAGAGACAGAAAAAGTGAGAAATCACCCCTCAGGAAGAATAGGCATGCCATGCTATGAACCCTTCTCCCTTCTCCATTTTCCTCTCAGTATTTTGGGCATACATGCACACGCCACACCTGGCATAAGTTTCAAGACACCAAGTCTGGGACTCGAAGTACAGTCAAACCATGTGAGAATCCAGCACCTTAAACACTATGCACCTGCTGTCCCCACCAGTTATTTTTATTATAAGGGACAATTATTTTCTGTTTTTGTATCAGACTAGACTCAGGTCATAAAGGGTTGGCTGTCATAGTTTACCTCTTTTCTTCTGATCAGGCCCCTCAGCCTTTACTTAGACACCTTGTGATAGTGGAAGCCCATCTCATCTAGGGTGATTTTCACAGAAAGCTCTTTCTTATGAGAGATGAAAATTGGTTTCTCTCACAGGACATGATCATGATTATAATCTTTAGGGCCAGGGCTGGCAGATGGAGTGGTGGTTAAGGGTGCTGGACTCCCACATGGCTGACCACAGTTTGAGTCCTGGACCCGGCAGTTTGCTTTCATGCTTTCTCTCTAACTCTGTTCCCCTCTGGTCAAGTTAATTAAATAAATAAATAATCCTTTGCCCATGATTCCAGGAGGAGATCTTGTCTCTCTTTGTCTGGCCAGCGCACGTGCCCTATAGCAAAAAAAAAAAAAAAAAGAAAAAGAAAAAAAAGAATAAATAAAATTTTAAAAATAATTCTTTTTAAAAAAATGTAAGAAGGTGGTTCTTTCTCATCCAGAGGTCAATGAACAAGATTGGCAAGCTTCTACATAAAAAGGAAGGTATTAAATATTTTAGGCTTTGTTATTCATATCTTCATTGGGGGGGGCTGTCATAGAGTACACAAATATAGAAAGTGAGATATCACCCCCCAGGATGGCCACACCACAATCCCTTTTCCTCCTGGGATTTTGGGCACACATGCCTGGCGTAATTTTTTTATTTTTTTTAATTTTTAATTTTTTTTGGAGAGGTTTTCGCTATAGGGCGTGTGCGCTCGCCAGACAGACAGAGAGAGACAGAGAGACAGAAAGCGAGAAATCACCCCCCAGAGGGGATGGTCATACCGCAATCCCTTCTACTCCATTCTCCTCTCAGGATCTTGGGCACGCATGCACATACGCCCGGCGTGAGTGTTAAACTACCGGGTCCGGGATGCGAACCGCGGTCAACTATGTGGGAGTCCAGCAACATAGCCATTACACTAACTGCTGGTTCTCAGCGTAATTTTTTTTTTAATAATTCTTTCTTTTTCTTTCTTTCTTTATTGATCTATTTACTTATTTTTAGTTAGAACAGAAAGAGACTGGGAGAGAGAGCGAGAGAGGGAAATAGATAAAGTAAGCTACCAGGTCATGTACTGGAACCTCAGTCAGCCATGTGGGAGTCCAGCGCCTTAACCACCACATCACCTGCTGGCCCCATTTATATGGCTAAGGTGCTGGACTCCCACATAGCTGATGGTGGTTTGAATCCTGATCTGGTGGCTCTCTCTCTCTCGTAAGCATATGTGTCCTATAGCAAGTTTTAAAAATAATAATAATAATAATAATAATGCTAAAATAAATTATTTAAAAAACTGTCTTTAAAACCATTTTTACCATGCAAGCTAAATAAACTGGCTGTGGCTAGATTTGGTCTGCAGATCAGTTCGCCAACCTACACCACAGAAGGTGGTCTAACACAGACCATCTAATGACTTTGAGAACTTCTGAACCTCAGGATCCTAATATCCTAGTGAGAGCACTCAGGCATTCAGCTCTCCAGTACCTCAGAGTCCAACAGCACTTCAATAGGAAGTTTAAAAGAACTTCTGTAGACATTGTAGACTTTGTCTGTAAACTGATACTTGACAGTTAAAAAAACAAAATACAAAGCACACCACTTCTTCAAAGTTGGTATGACAGTAGCTGAGTGAGCCCCTGAAGTTGCTAAAGGACACTCAGTCAGACTGCCAGTGGCCTCATTCTCTAGAGCAGTGACAGCAGTTTGACCTATATTACAAGTCAGCTTCCATCACACAGGGAACCACTTTCTGTAATCTGTAATGCTGGCCTACATCTATGTGTACAGTAATAGCTGCTGGGCATTCACATCCTCCTAAGCAAGGTTCCAGGTTTCTACATAGGAGGGGTTTAGGCACAGAAACCCAGCTGGAAAGGACTTCTGGAAAGGCAGCCACTTCTTGGTGCCACCACTGGTTTTGGTGAAGAGCTTTCATAAACTTGGAGTATTGTTAAACTACTGGACAGCAGTAAGTTTGCTTATTTCCAAACTGGGAAGGGGGAAGAGAGGGAAAAAGAACACTCAGATCTACAAAGTCAGAGGGCTAATATAGAAGTTTCACATCAAACAAGCTATAAACTGAATTTCCTGGAGTAGTTAGAGGAGACAAATTGCTTCATGGGAGACTGTTCTCTACTTAGCATCTGTTTTCTCTTGGGCTGCTGATTTGTTTGTTTGTTTATTTGTTTTTGAGAGTTTTTTTGCTATAGGGCACGTGCACTCATCAGAAAGACAGACAGAAAGCAAGAAATCACCCCCCAGGGGGGATGGTCACGCCACAACCCCTTCTCCTCCATTCTTCTCTTGGGATCTTGGGCACACATGTGCATGAGCCCGGTCTGAGTTTAAGCCACTGGATCCGGGACTCGAACCGTGCAATTGACTACATGGGAGTCCAGGAACACAGCCATTATGCCAACTGCTGTTCCTGGGCTACTGATTTTTTTTTTTTTTGGAGAGATTTTCGCTATAGGGCACGTGCACTCGCCAGACAGACAGAGAGAGACAGAGAGACAGAAAGTGAGAAATCACCCCCCGGGGGGATGGTCACGCCACAACCCCTTCTCCTCCATTCTCCTCTCAGGATCTTGGGCACGCACGCACACGCGCCCGGCGTGAGTTTTAAGCCACCGGGTCCGGGACTCAAACCACGGTTGACTATGTGGGAGTCCAGTGACATAGCCATTACACTAACTGCTGGTTCCCGTGGGCTACCGACTTTCTATGTTTAGAAATATAACTGATAATAACACGCAAACATTAAACCTTTAAGCTGAACTGCTAGGAAAGCATTCTGAACTGAATCAAGGCAAGATGGCTAACTCCCTAATTTGGATAACAAAGAGCACAGAATTCAGTATTTACTGTACAAGTGATTTTCCAAGTTATTAATAAAAGAGATGTTCTGAGTAAGAGATCTGGGCAACTTACCTTCAGGAGGCTCAGACATGGATGGGGTGAGACAATACATGTGGTAGCCACGATCACAGTCATCACAGAAGAGCAGCTGGTCCTAGAGAAGGCAAGAAGGATGAGGAAGAGGGAGCTAAATGACTCATGTGCCTCAGGCCACAGTGGGCAGAGGTGGGCATAGGAAGAGGGCTTATGTGAACATTGCTACTTCTACCTCCACAAGGGGCAGGGAGGTGACAGGTAAGAATTGGTGCAGGAATCTCTGGGTAGGAAACTCAGATGAGACCACTGTCATCTGTCACCCAGATTCTACCAGAGCTCCCAACTGATCAGTTTCCTCTCTGGTCCCTTACTGTTCTCCACAACTCAGTCAGTTACTTTATTTAAAAAAAAAAAAAAAAAAACTAAGACATCCATGTCACTTCTTTGATTAAAAATTTCCAACAGCTTTCCTCTAGTCCAAGGTCACAGAGACCTCATGGTGTCTACCTCCTCTTACCCGACTGCTTACCATGCTCTCCCACATGCAGGAAGACTCAGCTGACCATTTGGCCTCAACACACTAGCCTGTCTGCCTTAAGAATGGTTGCTCTTTGCTGAGAATGCTCTACCTCCAGACCTTCTTGGACTGGCTTGTAGGTATTATTCACATTTCAACCAATATTGCCTCATTAGAAAACCATCTCTGACTATCGAATCTAAATCAATTATCCAGTTACCCTCTGCTCCATTACAGGTTTATTTTCTTCATGACACCTCATAAAAACCTCATTCATTTCTTGCTTATTGATATTGTAAGAATGTAAATCCACGAGAGCAGGCACCTTGCTTGTCTTTAGTATCCTCAGTGCCTGACATAAAGTCAGTACTCAATAAATATCTGCCAACAAAGCAAGAATTTTGACTGGGATGCTGGAGATAGGCATGTGGGAAGGATCTTGCTCCCTTTTAGAAAGAACTTTGTGAAGAAGAGTAAAAGCCCAGGAGCCATGCTGGGGAGGGGGCAGAGGACGCACATCATTCTCAGAGGTGCCGCAGATGTTACAGCACTTGCACTCGATGCACTGCCAGCGGTAGGTCTTCACTGCCGCCATCATCACTGGGGTAAACTGGAGGCAAGATGGATGCCCTGTGGGGGAGGAGAGTGAGAAAAATAGGCATCCAGAAATGAGGAAAAAGAGCAGTCCACTGCCTATGGCTACATCTTCCCTGGCCAGGAGCAGCTGAGGCAAGCTGGCCAACTGTGACAGCACTGGAAGCCAGCAATCCAACAGCCCCTTAGGGACTGTGTGCTGCAGCAGCCCTCTCTTCCAAGGTGTGGAAGTACCTGAGCGGCCACAGTCAGAACAGGACACCAGCTCCTCAGGTTGTCCTGTCTTCTTGTTGATCTTTGAGTCCCCCAGGCAGAAGTCGCAATAGTTGTTGGGTAGGGCCAAGCCATCAGGACCCTTCTTGGCTACAGGATGAAAGAGAAAAGCTTTGATGCTACCCTTGGGGGTCCATGGGCCACTCAACATCCCTGCAAGGAGCTTTCATAATCAGGCTGGCCCACTACCTCCAATACTCCAGCTTACATTTCTGTTCCTCAGACCTCTGGGAAACGGGGGTGGGTGGTTGGGAGTCCTCCTTATCCTCGCCCTCTTCCTCAGCCAAGTGGGAGTGGGCATAGTGGTAACTGAGGCCTGGTCGGTTCTTGTAACGTTTTCCACAAACTGAGTGAAAAGATCACAGAGAAAGGTATTGGGAGAGTGCCACATCCCACCCTGCAAGCTGTGGGGCTCTACCTGAGTCACAAGGCCACCACCACCACCCCCACCAGATCTATTCTGGGGCAGATCCCCTCCCCTCAGCCAGGAGCATCAGGTCCTGGGGCCCTCTAGCTTCTGGGTTCTTCTCCCTCCTAAACCCCAACTCCATGGCCACCACTGCTCTTCCACATTGGCTTTTGGGGGGCTGAATCTTTGCCACATCACCACTTGTCCTAGGAATAGTAGTGGTCTGGGGAGCTCCAGGTGAAGAAAGGGAGGGGAATGTTTAGTCTTGTAGTATGGCAGGAGGGGGGAATGCTAAGGAAAACATTTCAAACTTTTCAGCCCTCGGTAAATATGGGAGGCTCATGCTAGCCCATACATACCATAGAGCCCATCTCTGCTAACTCGAGATAAGATTAAGGGGTAGGTCTTTGAGGATAACTTATCAACTGAGCTAACAGGGGCAGATGATCCTCCCAAATATAAATACACTTCTACATCAGTGCCTTGCTCAGTGTCTGCCAGCCAGCTAGGAAAGCAGATCTCCATGAGGCATCTTATCATTTGCAGCACTGATACAAAGGTCGAGAAGGCCAGCAGGAAGAAATGGGAAGTGAGGATGGGAGGAGGTGGCAGGATGGCAGGGAACATTAGCTGACCACCAAGCTGTTTGTGGGAAGTGGGAACAGATGGATCTCTCTGTAATAAGTTCCTAATAATGCTGTTGAAACTACTCCATGAACTGGGCTGAGTGGCCCAAAGAGCAAATTTGTGGGAGACAAGCAGTGTTGAAGGCAGCTGCCAGGACTTGGAGGAGTGGAGCACAACAGAAGTTCCACACTCCTAACCCCATGCCAGAGATTTAAAAACTAGCACCACAGGAGATAAGAAAGCCAGGAGGAACACGGGAGGAGGGAAAAAGGGATAGGAAAACCAAAAGTCTGAAAAGTTGAGAGAGCTACCTCTCTGGGGCGCTTTCGAGGTATGCTTTTGTTTGAAACTATCTGAAAGACAGAAAGAAAAGTCATGAGAAGAAGGCCTTGATACACTTAAGACAGGAGCGGCAATAGCAGCAAAAAAGCAGAGCAAACGAGAAAGAAAACCCAGTGGTGATGGTGCTCCCAGGACAGAGGGACAGAAGGGGGGCGAGCCAGAGAGAAAGGAAAGAGAACAGACATCGAAGCACTCGGCATTGGATCCCGGGGGCCCAGGCTCAATTGGGGCCAGCAGACGTGGGTGCCATCTATTGAGAAGCCAACCCTGCCTGCTGTGGGTCTCCGTCCCAGCACTCCCACCCCAGAGGACAGCAGAAACCTCTCCCAGAGCATGCAGGTCCCACCCATTCTGTAGCAGAGACCCAGGCTTTCCAGAGGTTTCAGAGGGATCCAGTCAGCAGGCAAGAGCCCAGGCTTGTTTTACCACGCAGGGCAAAAACTCAACCCTCCCTCCTCTCACATCCTGAGCAGGAGCTGAGTCCAAAGCAAGGACTACCCACCCACTTGTGAGGCACTCACTGTCACAGGCATAGGGCTTGTCCCGATCCTCCAGGATGGAAGCATCCAGCTTCTTACGGGCACTGCCCACACCCTTACCCTGTCAAGAACAGCAAAAAGATGCACTTACTTAAGTGTCTAGGCTTGTCTAGGAAGTGGCTGTTAATCTCACCTGAGAAGAAATAAAGGCAATCACAAGAACTAAGCCATCCAACTCCCCAGGCTACCCTGCCCTAGGCTGCAGGCAGCATTCTGGCCCCTCACCTTGGATTTCCCCTTGCCCCGCCGCTTTGGAGTATCTTCTTCATAGTCCTCATCATCGAGATCATCCAGGAAGTCATCTGGTTCTAAGATCCGCTAAGTGGATAGAAAGTTCAGATTGAACAGAAATAATATGCACCACAAAGCTCCCAGGTGGAACTGGCTAAGACCACTCAGAACCACCTCCAGGACTCAGTTCTATCCATACGAGCCTGCTTCCTTAACACTACCCTTTCAAGCATCCTACTATCCTGAACCTGCTACCTTTGATGCAGGACTTTCCTTTCTCTGGGCTCCTCTTCACGTTGTTCCTTTGACCTGGAATGACTTTCCAACCACCTTCGAGGGGTCAAATCAAATGCCATGTTTGCATAAAACCTTCTCTGATACCCCAAGTAGTCATGCCCTTTCCTGCAACTGAATGGCCACTCCCGACATGTTATCCGTGGTTTTTATCTGATACTCACTTCCTAGTCTAAATGAGAACTCTGTTGCTTATTTGTATGACCTTGTGGGAATTTTTTAAATTGCTCTACTTCAGCCTCCATGCTGTGAAAAGAGGACCAAAAGACCTATTCCACGAAGTTGTATAGATCAAAGGCAAAAGAGCAAGAAAAAGTACTTTGCACAGTGCCTGGCTTATTTTTAGCTCTTATTTTTATATATAGTTTGATCTTCCACGTTAGCAAGGACCAGTCTGTTTCACCTATGTAACCCTAGGCATCAAAAAACTTTGTGATAAAGACTTCTGTGACAGAAGATGAAAGAGCGACAGTCTGTACTTAGAAGAAAAGTAGAAAAGACTGGATGGAGAGAGAAACTAATCAGTCCCCAGCGTTTATAAGGGAATGAGGCAGGAACAGAACTACAGGAGCCGTCCTCCCAGCCCACAGCTTCTGCTTCAGTTCTGGTAACTGGATGGCCCTGATAAAAAGGAGGCTGGCTTCCATTAAAGTTCCCTTAGCCACAGGAATGTACCTTCCGAGCTCGACTGTTGGTCACAGGAAACTCGCCCAGGCTGTCATCATCAACTCGGGGATCCGGGGCACCTCGCTTCTCCAGGGGGTCAGTGCGCAAGAGAGCCTCTAAACTGCTGCCGTCCTGAGAAATCAGCCCCTCCTTCTTCAGGGTCTGGTCTGTATCTGCAATCAAGGTTCCGAACAAAGCAAGGCTCAGCAGACTGCTCTGAGTCTACACAGTACTATAGTTAACCAAAGATCTGTCAATGTCCTCTGTTCTGAGGCTACCCAGGAAATAAGACACCCTAGTTCACTTGGTACCATAATTTACCTGTTTTGCCTGACAGACTGAGTTCTTTATTATTATTTAATTTGCCAGAGGGCATGCGTGCTGGCCAGTGACAGAGAAGGGAATACAGTCATGCCACAATCCCCTTCCTCCTCTATTTATTCCTCTTTTCAGAATTTGCATGCACACACATACAACTAGAGAGTTCTTCCTCAAGCAGCTGGGTCTAGGACTTGAACCATGCCTCTCCTTCATGTTGTTCTCTCAACCTGTGGGATTCAGCCACCTTAACCACCACGGCTGGCCCTGGACAGATTCTTTAAAGGAAGGAATCCCATCTTAATCATTTTGGTATTTTCAAGATCTAGCACTGGGGGTCAGCTGATGGTATGGCAGTTAAAGAGGCTGATCCCATGTGGTCAACTGTGTAGTTTGAGCCTGGACCTAACAGTTTGAAAGACATGCTGGGCACACATGTACATGCATGCCCAAAGTCGTGAAAGGATGAATGAAGAAGAGGGGATTGTGGTAAGACAATCCTTTATGGATATTTTCTCACTTTCCCTCCTCTATTTCTCTGTCTCTTTACCTCCCTAGTGAGTGTATGTGCACCCTGGAAAATTAAAAAGAAAAAAAAGATCTAGCACTGGGCACAGGCCTCTAACCATGTAGCAAGTCAGCCATGGATGGCTCTGCTTAAGAAGTGTGTGCCTTACCTGGTTTAATAGATGGGAAGGAAAGTCGTGGATCCTCAGGCGGGTGGGCTCGCCGCTTTTTTCTCCAGCGCCGGGCTGGGTAAGAGTACAACTGTCCAGAGGCCAATCCTATGGAAGGAAGGAAAAATTCAAGCCCTAACCCTGTCCTAGAAAATAATATCAAACATTTTCTAGATGACAAGCTCCTCCCCAACTGAGTTCTAAAGAAGGGATAAGGAATAGTGATAGAGTCTGGGAGGATGGGTCAAACAGTTTTCAGAAAATAATAACAGATGTTAGCTTTATGGCCTTAGCTGATACACAGTTCTCCAGAAGCCCAAAACTGGCCTCAGCAGGGCACAAAACAAAGATGCTGGTATGAACCTATCTGCTTCACTCTCCCTGGGTTTCTAATCATGGAAACACCATATTCATCCAAAGGTGGAAAACCCTCTCAACTCCCTCATCACTTAAAGATCTTTCTTCCTCCGTGCACTCCTAACTCCCCTTCTCCTGAGTCTAGACCCTCACCTGGACCCCGGTGTCGTTTTTCCATCCAGATATAACAGTTGCTTTGGGCTACTCCAGTCTGTGAGTCCAGGAAAGGCAGGCGCACGCTGCGCTCAGCACACAGGCGGGCATTATAATTGTGGCACTGCTCCATGGCATCTTTGTAGTACTGCTCCCCAAGGCTGTAGGGAACATAAAGATCAGATGTGTGTGTTGGGATGCGGGAGGACTATGAGCTACCCTTTTCCCCTGCCATTTTCTTCTCCAGAAGGCTCAAGGGACTGGGAGAGTGGCTCTTCAGCTCTACTTGCCTCTACTTCTGCCTTATGGGACTTCAAGCCCCTTCACTGAGCAAGCCATCGTGAGGAAGGGCACTTCCCAAATACACTACCACCAGAAACACATGATTTCATGTGTCTAATCAGACTAAAGTCTAACTCACAAAGAAGGGAAGAAATTAATGTTCATTCTGTGCTTGTTAAAACGTTAATTTATTTTAACCCTCATGACTTATTTTTTGGAGAGGTTTTTTGCTATAAGGTGCATGTGCTTGCCAGAAAGACAGAGAGACAGAGAAACAGAAAGTGAAAAATGCCCCCCAGGGGGATGGCCACGCCACAATCCCTTATCCTCCATTCTCCTCTTGGGATCCTGGACACACACACCTGGCGTGAGTTCAAGTCACTGGGTCTGGGAGTTGAACCATGGTTAACTACATGAGAGTCTAGTGGATATAGCCATTACGCCAGCTGCTGGTCTGTTAACCCTCATGACTGAGAAGATCAGCAGAAGCAGGTTAAACTCCTCCTTACAAATGGGGAAGAGTTCAAGATCTAGGGGACTCCCTAAAATGTATTTAGCGGGAACCAGCAGTTAGCATAATGGCTATATCACTGGACTCCCACGTAGTCGACTGCGGTTCGCGTCCCAGACCCGGTAGCTTAAAACTCACGCCGGGCGCATGTGCGTGCATGCCCAAGATCCCCAGAGGAGAATGGAGAAGGGATTGTGGCGTGACCATCCCCCCGGGGGGTGATTTCTCACTTTCTGTCTCTATGTCTCTCTCTGTCTGGTGAGCACACGCACCCTATAGCAAAAATCTCTCCAAAAAAAAAAAAAAAATGTATTTAGCAAACTACAGCATACCCAAAAAATGAAATGCTATTTAGTCATTAAGAAAAGATGGAAGCTTTTCATATATTGATGATAAAAATTCCCAAGATAACTAGTGGGTTATCTTGGAATGCTGAGAAGTATCAAAGGATGCTACTATTTGCGTAGCCAAGTAGTAGAAAAGAAATTACAGTCCTGGAAGGAAAAAAACTGGATGACCAGACTTTCTTCCATATGCCCTTTTATAATTTTTTAAATTTTTAACTATTTGGGACCAGCAGTTAGCGCAATGGCTATGTCGTTGACTCCCATATAGTCGATCACAGTTCGAGTCCTGGACCCTGTGGCTTAAACTCATGCTGGGAGCGTGTGCGTGCATGCCCAAGATCCCAAGAGGAGAATGGCGGAGAAGGGATTGCAGTGTGACCATCCCCAGGGGGGTGATTTCTTGCTTTCTATCTCTCTGTCTCTCTGGCAAGCACACGTGTCCTATAGCAAAAACCTCTCCCCCCAAAAAATGTTTTTTTGAACTACGTGTTTAACCACCAAATTACTTTTATAAACTAATTATATGTTCAGTGGAAGACATCTGCTAATATCTGAAGTTCTCTGAAGCTTCTTTTGAGCACATTACCTATTTACTTTAAGGTCTATCCCAGGCCATTACTCATTCTCACACAATCACATTATACAGAAAAAAACTCCGGGATTCAAAAGATTCAATTTGTGGGGCAAGCAGGTGGTGTAGTGGTTAAGATGCTGGACTACCACATGGCTGATCAAAGTTCAAGTTCCAGACCCAGCTGCTCGAAGGCTCGAAAATCACACCGTGTGTGTGTGTGTGTGTGTGTGTGTGTGTGTGTGTATGCATGCCCAAAATCCCAGGAAAAGGAATTACAGTGTGGCCATCTCCCGGAGAGGGGGAGGGTGATTCTCACTTTCCCTCTGTCTGTCTCTGGTAAGCGCCATGTACCCGATAGCAAAAACCTTAAAAAAAAAAAAAAAAAAAAAACCTCAATTAGAAATCTGAATGAAAGGTAAACCTTTTTTTATTTTAAAGAATTATTTTATTCAACTTTATTTACTCATTTCTAACTTGACCAGAGGGGAAGAGAGAGAGAGAGAGAAAGAGAGAGAGAGAGAAAGTGAGAAAGCAAGCCACCAGGTCTGGGACTCGAACCATGGTTGGCCATATGGGAGTCCAGCACCCCTAACCACCACGCCACCTACCAGCCTCAATCAAAGGTAAACCTTTAAGTGCTTTATAAAGCTGGAAAATTACACAGTGCTAGGAGTTATCTGTTTCAAAGAGGCATCTATGTAGAACCAACCTTATTCTCCTTTGGGGTTTAACAGGTACTTTGGTAATGGAAGGCAAACTAAGTGCAACAAATCATATTTATATTCAATCTATCATAAAGTAAACTACAGACAAAGGTGATTTTTTTCCTATAGGAACCAAATACCCAAACAGATCAGTCTGAGACACAGGTCACACCTGACCCGAGAGTAAGACCTTGGCTACAAGTTACCATGTAAACATGGACATTCAGTCAAACTGCATGGACCCTGGTTCCTTGTCTACAGATTAGGGAGGTAGGACTATATGAGCACTGACATGTCAGGATTCCATGAGAGAGAGAACCCAGGCATGAAAGGCTAGACAGATTAGGTCTTTGTGGCTTATATCCATAATTCAAGCTATACCAACAAACCGTGCTCTGGAATCTGATGGAAGCTTTCATTGAGCCGTCGTGATAGACAACTGCACCATTTAGCATGCCCCCACCAAGTGAAAAAGACACACACCACACACAGAGAAGGCATATCACAAGTGGCTTGATTCAGTGAGCTATAACAACTGTAATCTGAGGTAGGCGCAACTAATACTGTGTTGGAGAGCAGAGCAGAGAACGAAGCAGGCTCACATTTGCGAGCAAGCCTTTAGGAGGCAGCCACGTCCTCACCACAGAGGAAAATTGGATAAACAAGGCTGAGTGCAGCAGCTCCTTTGTTTCTGCTGATGGGAATTGATACTGACACTGGAAATCAAACGGAAGGAAGGGCCAGAAAGGCTGAAGGCTGCAAAGTCAGAGCAAGGAGGCTGGAAACAGTTTGGGGGAGACAGATGAGAGATGTTCTGTCAGAGGTCTTATGAGTTACATGGGATTTCAGTGGGTGGGGCAAGTGGTCTTGTAGGTAAGAGGGTTGGCAAAGAAACACTTAAGTGCACTGGGTCGGGTGGGCTGGATCTCACTAGGAGAGAGCAAGAGAGAATGAGAAAGGGCTCTTAAGAAAAGGTTCCTACAGCAAGCAATGTCATGCTAGCATTATTCTCTAGATCTTGTTACCTAACTCAAAGTTTCAAAACTAGTCAGTAGTCATATTTACAGATAAGAAAATTCTCCCTCTGGGATAAATGCAAGTCAGAAAAGATGAATTAGCAGTCTTTATTTCTCTGTATAGCCTCAGCTGTCAGATTAGACCCACTCTCATCATGAGAAGCACCAAATAAGTATTTTTTTACACCATGACAATGGTATAAGAATGAAAGCTCTTCCTAACGAGAAAGTTCTGTGGGAGAATGTATAAATTGCAGTCCACAGCCTTCTGCAGCTAGAACTAAAGAGAAAGTTACTTTCTCATTAACAGTACTCAGAAACCGTGGCTAGTGATGCTCGCAATCTCTCAATCTCTAGTTTTTTTTTTTTTAAAGAGAAATGGGAAGTCATCTCTATTTCTTTTCTTTTTTTTTTTTTTTTTAAATTATTAGGTTCTTTTTAATTTGCGGGTACACGCACTCACCAGAGAGAGAAAGGGAAAGTAAGAAAGCAAGCCGCCAGATCCAGGACTTGAACCACAGCTGGCCATGTGGCAGTCAGCACCCCACCTATACCAACTGCTGGTCCCCAATCATCTCCATTTCAATGGGCAATCTCTCACAACATTAGAGGGCTGGCAACCCTATTTCCCTGAAGAAGTCTCCCAACATGAAGAGCTTCATTACATGTCAGTCTCAAAACCTAAGCAAGTCTGACATTCCCCAGTACAGTAAGAAGCTTTGATTTGGGGGGAATCATGAAGTTTGCGTAAAACGTTCCCTTACAATGGGATGGAGAGAATCAACAAAGGGAAAGGCAGGGAAACAAAGAAAGAACATCTGAGTCAGGAAAGCCAACTACATAAATGGCAGATCAACAGCGTCATTTCTAAATTGCGGAAAATGTCAGCCTGAAGAGAGCTGGGGAAACCAGAGTGGGCAGATCAGAGAGAAAGATAATAATGCTGGGAGGAGGGGAGGCTGAAAGAGGCAGCAGGATGGAGCAAAAACCAAGTTTTAAAAAGAAAAGAAAGGAAAAACCCCACAAGAGGAGGAGAAAGCACTTAGCTTAATGGAAGTGGGAAAGCATTCTCAAAGAAAAGGGCTCTAGGCAGGAGGAAGAAACAACCTCAAAAAAGGCTCTTGGGAAGAGTGGGGGCTCAGAAGAAGACAAAGACTGACAAGAAGGGGAGTCCTTTTGAATAGTTCCCGACCTTTACCTTGTCATCCAGACAAAATCGAAAAGCCCACACTGGACAGCTGAACACCTCTCGGTTTTCCTGCCCTTGCACCAAGCCCAATATAGGGCATTAACCCATTTCAAAACTTACTCGGATTCTTTAGAGACGAAGAAGGATGGAATAAATCAGGTTCCGAAGCATCTTTAACTCACTAGGAGCAGCTAACAGGCCTGCGTGCTCCCAATAACCGTTAACTTTAACTTTGCTCGAAATCTGACCAGCGCCAGGACACGACAGATTACCACCATGCCCCCTTGGGCTGTAAGGTCGTCCCGGACTGCTTCAATCCTAATTCCCGGGTTCTGATCCTGCGACTGGCTGGCGCAAAGACCCACTCCCCCGAAGTTCTTTCCATTCTGTACCTGCTTCTCGGCAGATTCTTTCCAAGAATATTTTTTAGCCTTGAGTATCTACTACCCAAGACCCTCCCGGGTGTTTTGCTCTAAACGGCCCTTCAATCCTCAACCTCGTTGGGGACGCCGGGCCTGTTGCTTCGAGGTTCGCAGCGGGCGGCGGACAGGGAGGGGTCGCCGTCTGCTCTGCGCAAGGGGCAGCCGAGCCTCGACCTGGCTTCTCCGGACCGAGACGTCTCAGGAGAGCGGCCGGACGCCGAGTCTCGCGTCCAGGGAGCCACGCTCTGGAAGCTAAGACCCGAGGGGCGCTCAGGTCACACAGCCCGACAGCGGGGAGGCTGCCCGGCAGGGGCTCCCACGGGCCCCCTCAGGGCCTCCACAAGTTTCCAAAGAAGCGCAACGTCTTCTCCGGAGTCTCCTGTTGCCCTCCCGCTAGGAGTCGAAACACAGCCTTCCCGGGCACGTCCTCCTCCCTGGCTCGTCTCTTCCCGCACGGCCCCCTGCTCCCGGACCCCTCGTAAGACTTCCCAGTCTAAGAGAGAAAGAAACGACCACTCACAGCTTCACTACATTCTCCACCACAGCCGCCATCTTCCCCGCTCCTCTCCCTCAGGCCGGGAGGCCCCGGAGCCCACAGCGCGCAGGCGCCGGCCCCGCACAGGGATGCGCCAGTTTCCTCGTCCCTCTGCGCAGGCGCCTTCTGGGCGCGCGCCTGAGAGCCAGCGCTGGAAAACGCATCGCGCCGGACTGCCGGGGCGGCGGAGGGAAACCCAGGAGACCCCAACGCGCAGGCGCAACCGGAGACGGGCGCGCGCCCCGCTTCTCCTGCTCTAGCCGGTCCCCTTTCATTTAGAAAATCAGGAGGGAGCCGGGGGACCTCCGGCCGGTTACGGAAATGAGATGGCGAAAGGTTGGCTGAAGCCGTGAGGCCCGTGGGTGAGCTAGGTCGAGCGCATGCGTTCTACTACCCAGCTGACCTTTAACCGGGTGGTTAACCCTTTACCCTCAATCACAGGTCGGGAGCTGGAGTGTGGTTAAAGTGATGTACAATCCACTTGTTCTCCCAAACATTCGCCCCTGTCAGGAGAGGAAAGTTAACGCCCAGAACTGGGCAGTTCTTTGGCTTAAGTATTGCAATTTACCATTAGTTACCTTACCTTACCTTACCTTACCTCCTGCCACTAAGCACATTTCCCGAACTTCTCTGATACCTGCCTCTTCTCTCTTGCTTCCTGCGGCTAGGCTCACTTCTCACGCAGCTTCTGAAGAACCTTCTTAAGTATCTTTTTTTCCTCCTTCACTACTGACTCGTGCTAATCCGTGTTAAAGGGCCAGCAGGTGTCAAGGAGATTAAGGCTGCTGGATTCACATGACCCCCTGTGCAGTTCAAGTCCCAGATCTCAGTGCCTTGAAAAAACACGCTGGGTACGTGTGTGTTCCCAAAAATCCCCAGAGGAGAATAAATGGAGAAGGGATTGTGGTGTGGCCACCCCCATTATGGTGATTTCTCACTTTCCATCTCCCCTGCTCTGCTGAACGTCAGTTCAAGCACCATATAGCAAAACAAAACCAAAAACATGCCTTAAGGATATATGTATCCTTAAAAGGGCCAGCTCTGTGGTATGGAGGTAATGTGCTGCTCAAGAGAACTGGATCACACGTGGTGATGTCACTTTAAATCCCTGGCCTGATCCATCTGAAGCACATATGCACCAGGATCCAATGGGCTGGAGGTTGAGAAAGTGAATTTCGGTGTGACCAGACCCTGATGAGAGTGTTTATCTCTCTCTTTCTTTCTCTCTAATGTGCATATGTATACCCTCTATCATCATGAATGGAGAAAATAAATTAATATAGATTCCTTTAAAAAATTGGGGCCAAGAGGTGATGCAGTGGTCTGGACTCCCACAAAGCTGACTGCAGTTTCAAGTTCTGGACCTCATGATTTGAAAATCATGCTGAGCTGGGACCAGTAGATGGCATAATGGCTATGTTGCTGGACACTCATGTAGTCGAGCACGGTTCAAGCCCTGGACCCCGTGACTTAAACTCACGCTGGGCACGTGTGCCTGCATGCCCAAGATCCCAAGAGAAGAATGGAGGAGAAGGGATTGCGGCATGGCCATCTCCCCTGGAGGGGTGATTTCTCGCTTTCTATCTCTCTGTTTCTCTGGCAAGTGCACACACCCTATAGCAAAAACTTCTCCAAAAAAGAAAAAAAAATCATGCTGGGCACATGTGCACATATGCCCAAAATCCCAGGAGGAGAATGGAGAAGGGAGTGCAGCATGACCCTCCCTCTGTGGGGGAGGTGATTTCTCACTTTCCCTCTCACTGTGTCTCTCCAGGGAGCACACACACCCCATGGCAGAAACCTAAAAAAAAAAGAAAAAGAAAGAAAGAAAACCAACCCATTAGAAAGTGAGCAAAGAACTTGAATAAATATTTCCCCAAAGAAGATCTATAAATGACCAATGAGCACATATTAGGATGTTCAACATCACTAATTATCAGAGAAAAAAATGAAGTATTGGCAAGGATGTGAAGAAATTGGAACCCTTGGGACCAGCAGATGGCATAATGGCTATGTTGCTGGATTCTCATATAGTTGACCACAATTCAAGTCCCAGACCCAGTGGCTTAAACTCACGCCAGGCACGTGTGCGTGTGTGCTCAAGATCCCGAGAAGAGAATGGAGGAGAAGGGATTGTGGCATGGCCATCCCCCCGGAGGGTGATTTCTTGCTTTCTGTCTCTCTCTCTCTGTCTTTCTGGCACATGCCCTATAGCAAAAACCTCTCCAAAAAAAAAAGAAAAAGAGCAGTTGGAACCCTTGTCTGGAAGAGGTTTTTGCCTTAGGGCACGTGCACTTGCTGGACAGAACAGGGTTGATGGCTACACCACAACCCCTTCTCCTCCATTCTTCTCCCAGGATCCTGGATACGCACACACACGCACCTGGTATGAATTTCAAATCACCAGGTCCATCCAGGACTCAAACCGCGATAGACCATGTGGGAACCCAACGATGTAACCACTTTGCCATCTGCTGCCCATTCACCCCATTTCTTTATTACCCTTTCAAAGCAAATATTCTGTGTATACCCCATCTCTGTTGCCTTGCACCAAGTTTAATGGAGACTTCATGCCCACCAGTTCACTTGAAATAGTTCCTAACATTCACTGTGACTTCTATTTCAACAGATTTAGAGATCTACTCTGTCCTTGTGGACCTACTGACTTTGTTGGTTGTTCCATTTCTTTCATGGGAGAAATAAACAAAAAAGTATGGTGTGGTGGTTAGGGCGGCTGGATCCCATCTGGCTAATAAGTTTTGAATCCAGTGGCTTGAGAAACACATTGGATGTGTGTGTGTGTACATGCCCAGAGTCCTGAAAGGAGGGAGAAATGGAAGTGAAGGGATTGCAGTGTAGCCATCCCCCTATGGGGGCTGCTCTCTCTCTTCCTTTCTCTCTTTCTCTCCAGTGAGTGCATGTTCTCTCTTGGAAAAAAAAAAAAAAAATTTGGAGAGGTTTTTGCTATAGGGCACGTGCACTAACCAGAAAGACAGGAAGCAAGAAATCACCCCCCAGGGAGGATGGCCACACTGCAATCCCTTCTCCTCCATTCTCCTCTTGGGATCTTGGACATGTACGCACACACGCCCTGCATGAGTTTAAGCCACCGGGTCCGGGACTCAAACTGCAGTTGACTACATGGGAATCCAGCGACATAGCTGTTAAACCAATTGCTGGTCCCTCTAGCAAAATGTTTAAAAAGAAGAAGTATGCTAACACTGAAGCTGAATGTACACATACCTTACCACCCAGTGAGTCCATTCTGGTGTATGTACATCAAAAAGCATGTATAGTACAAGAGTGTTCACAACAGTGTTATTGTGATCACTCCACACTGGAAAAACCTAAATGCCCAGCAACAGTAAAATAAGTTAAGCAGCAATGTGAGGACAATTACTATTCAGCAATATAAGTGAATCTCAAAAATGTAACATTGAACAAAAGATACCAAATTCAAGAGAGGGCCTATGACAAAGACACATTAATCCTGGGGATACAAGTCAGGAGAGGGGCCATGAGATAGCTACCGAGGTTTGTTCACTTTGTAAAACTGAGTGTGGGGACCAGCAGATGTCATAGCGGTCATGTCACTGGACTCCCATATGGCCAACAGTGGTTCGAGTCCCAGACCTGGAGACTTGAAACTCACACTAGACACGTGTGTGTGTGTGTGTGTGTGTGTGTGTACCCAAAATCTCGAGAGAAGGATGGAGGAGAAGGGATTGTAGCATGGCCATTCCCCTGGGGGGTGATTTCTTACTTTCTCTCTCTGTCTTTCTGGCAAGCACAAGCACCCTATAGCAAAAATCTCTCTCTCATTTTCTCCCTCTCTCTCTTTTGAAAGAATTGTTTATTTATTTAATTCCATTTGTTATTATTATTTTTATTTGACCAGACAAGAGACAGAGAGAGAGAAAGGGAAAGCCAGAAAGGAGACTGTCAGGGCCAGGACTCAAACTGTGGTCAGCCATGTGGGAATGTAGCACCTTTAACTACCATGCCACCTGCCAGCCCCAAAAATCTCTCTTGAAAAAAAAAGTGAATTGTGGGGGGTAGGCAAAGACGCTGGAATCCCACGTGACTGACTGCTATTCGAGTATTAAATCCGGGGATTTGCTTTCTCATTCTTTCTCTGTCTCTCTTATGTCAAATAAAAAATATATAATAATAATACATAAAATGAAATAAATAATTGTTTTTAAAAATGAATTGTGTATCTCTCTGTATGTATATTTCAGTATAAAGTCTGGAAGCCAGCAGATGGAGTAATGGTTATGTCACAGGATTCCCACGTGGCTGACCACAGTTCCAGACCCAGTGACTTAAAACTCACTCTAGGCACATATGTATGCATTCCAAAAATCCCAAGAAGAGAATGGAGGAGAAGGGATTGCGGCATGACCATCCCCAGGGGATGATATTTTGCTTTCTGTCTGTCTCTTCGGTGAGTGCATGTGCCTTACAGCAAAAATATCTAAAAAACAACAACAAAAGACTCACATAGGATGTGTGTCTGCGCGTGTGTGTGTGTGTGTGTGTGTGTGCGCGTGTGTGTGTTTGCCCAAAATCCCAAGAGGAGAATGGAAGAGAGGGGATTGCAGCATGGCCATCCCCCTGGGGAGTGATTTGCTTTTTGTCTTTCTCTCTGTCTCTTATATATATGTATGTATGTAATAATAGGGTCAGGAGGTGGGCATGGTGGTTGGGGCACTGGACTCCCACATGGCTGACTGTTGTTCTAGTCCTAAATGTGGTGGTAAGCTTTCTCACTTTCCTCTCTCTGGTAAAATTATGAATAAATAAATAATAACAAATAAAATTAAATAAATAAATAATTTTTAAGAGTTTTTTTGTCTCAAGGCTCGTGTGCTTGTCAGAGAAACAGAGACAGTGAGAGAGAAAGTGAGAAATCACCTTTCAGGAGAAATGGCCATGCAGTAATCCCTTCTCCTCCATTTTCCTCCCTAGATCTTGAGCATGCATGCACACATACCCAACATGGTCCGGGTCCCGAATCGCGGTCAGCCATATGGGAGTCCTGGGCCGGTCCCCCCAGCATGAGTTTCAAGCCACCGGGTCTGGGACTCAAACTGCAGCAGGCCATATGGGAGTCCAGTGACAT